AATAAATGTGGTATTAGTTTATTTATATTTTAAGTTTCGAACGATTTTAATAAATATTGATTGAGTAAATGAATTTTTATTTACTGCCAGTTTTTTCTGCCACTATTGTATTATACCACTTTATTTATAATTTTTAGATCATGATATCTGAATAATTAAAGTAACTATATAATTAAAATTTTAATTCAAGTTAAAGACTATAATCAGATTTTTAATATATTGTATTTAAATTTGAGTATTACTTAATTTGTGAATTTTTAAAAAATTTCTTTGTATGCAAATTTTTTGTAATATAATACTTTTGACAATTAAAATTAATATAATAAAGTTATGATTGTATAATGCGTTTTATACATATAAGTAAATTTAAATTAGTAGATCAATGTATATGCTTTTCTTTTATTTTTTTAAATATATTATGAAGGTGATTTTATTTCACCAAAGAAAATATATTTTTTCCTTATCTAAAAAGATTTACTAAGTTATACAATTACTTCTCGTAAAAATATAAATCATAAGAATTAAACAAAGAAAAGAAAAAACAGGCAGTTTTGATATTATTTTAAAATCAAGCTACTTAAAAATACTTATAGAATATTATGAAGAAATATCTTCAGGTTTATTAAGTTAAATGAATATACAAATGCTATTCAAATTCAAAAATCTTTAATTTCTAATGAAAATATTATTATTTTACTAAATACTATTTAACATTCTTTAAAAAAGCAAGTTCTTATAACTAGAGTTAAAAAAATCATTACTTTTAAAGAAACATAGAAAAAATTTGCTCAAAAATATAAGAAAAATACTATAAAAGATTGATGAAAAGTAATGTAATCAGATGAGAATAAATTCTTAATTTTTGATTTGAATAGAAGAGAGTGGTATTAAAAAAGATTCAAATTTACCTTTATAATTTTAGTATATTAAACTAACTGTAAAATTTAGTAGAGATTATGTAATAATATGGGTTATATAAATTCATTTAATGTGTAAAATTAATGGAAGAACAGATGGAAAGTTATAAAGAAATTTTAGAAGATAAGCTTTTAGGAATTATTAATACATATAATTTGGATGTAAATAATATTATTTTCTAATAGGATAATAATCCAAAATATATAGCAAAAAAAACATACTGGTAGTTTGATAATAATAATATTAAAATTTTAGATTGGCCAGTATAATCACTAAACTTAAACCCTATTGAACATTTATAGAATAAAATTAATCATTATTTGTGACAGTTTTCTGATAATATTACTAGTATAAAATATTTGTGAAATAAGATACAATTAATATAGAATCAAATTAATGTTGATTTTTGTTTAAAATTAATTAATACTATATTACAACAAGTTAAAGATATACTTAAAGCTAATATGAGATGATAATAGTTTTATAAAAAAAAAATTAAAGCATAGTTTGGTAAAAAAAATTTGAAAAATTTATATTTTGATTTTATTAGTTATATGTATCAAAAATAATGTATTATAAAATTTATGATTATGAAAGATTTTTTTTAAAATTATAAATAAAAAGAAATTTAAATTTGAATATATTATAAAAGAAGTCTCAAATAATACATTAATTAAATTTGCAAATTATTCAATCATTAAATTTTAATTTATTACAATCTAAAATTATAATGAAATGGTACAATAATTATAAAAGTTACTATATATTTATTAAATGAAACTATTTAATTATTAAATATTAATATATTTTTCTTTCTTTTAATATAACTGCTTATTTATAACTATTAAATATCAGTATTATTAATAACTTTAAAGTAAAAAATAATTATTGAATTTTTTTTATTAATATTTTTTTAAATATTTATTTATACATTTATAATTTTCAGAAAATTATTAGTTGTAAATAGAGTAAAATATACTTTAATTCAGAAAAGCAGTTCTAATAATATAATACTAGTTGATATTCTTAATACTATAATATTTATTAGTGAAATATAGAACATTATAAAATTAATATTATTAGAAAAAACAGGTATTTTACTTGATTTTGAAAGAAATTATTCTTAAAAAAATGATTCTAATTAGAATTAAGATATTAATGATAAAATTAATAGAATAATTTTAGATTTATGAGAAATAATTGACAAATTAAATTTACAGGATCTTATTACAGCTGAAATATTTATCTATATTGATGATGAAATACTAATAAAGCTATTATCTGATAAAGAAATTATTACTGAAATAATTTCAAGATCTAAATAAAGAAGATGATATAGAAGATGATGATGAATCAGAGATAAATATTAGTATTTCTAAAAAGAAGTTTTAAATAGTTTAAAGAAAATAGTTTAATATTTTAGAAATCTGCTTGATAATATTTTAATTAATTATAGAATTAAAATTCTTAATACTTTAAAATCAAAAATTAACAAAAAATGTAAAATAAACTATATTAGATAGTTTTATGTAATATTAAATATTTAAAATAATAATAAAGTTTAAAAAATTTACGTTATAATAAATTTTTTATTTATATAAAATTCACTATAAAGAAATTTCTCATTTTTGTAAATATTTATTATAGTAAATAAAATTGAATAAAATTGAATGTTTACTATAACAAGCCTTAACTATATTATCAGATTAATATAATATAATTACTTATTTAGATATTTACGTAATTTAGTTATATGACTTATTATTATTAATCAATAATTCAATATCAATAATTATCACTGATTTTACATTAAATCTAATATTAATTAAACTGTAATTTAACATATTATATTTTTATTAAAAAATTCTATCAATTATATTTCTTTAATATAGGTTAATAGACTACTGACTAGCTTTATATGATTATTTAAATAAATAAATCATTATATATAATATTCTTAATTTATATATTTATAATTTATATAAAATAATTTATTTATATTTTAATAAATATTTTTTTTAAATAGAATTTAAAATGTTTATTAATTTTATTTAATCTTATTTTATTTATATTAAGATATTTAAAAGTTATTATAAATAATTATTATTCTATATTGATTTTTGATTATAAAAATTTATTAATAAGTATATTTTTAAAATATATTTTATAAATTTTTTTTTTAAAAAAAATTTATATACTTATATTCTTTTTATCAATAGTTTTTAGATTTTATTATAATTAAATTACTATATAAAAAAATTTAAAAAGAAAGTTATAATATTTATATAAAAGTAATATAATATTAAATTAATAAGTAATAATATTATTTTTTAATATTATTAAAAATATATTAATAATAATATAAAAATTCTTATACAAATCAAATCTCAATATACTGATTTTTGCTATAATAAAATATATTTATATTATATAATTTCAAATTATTTTTTATAAATAAAGAAAATCAAGAATGTTTGCAATGAAATGACTTTAAAAAAATAACATGCTTATAATCAAATAATCAATAATGAATTGGAAACAGTTCAAATGAAAGACCTTCATAAGTAATTCATTAGAAATTTTTATTAAAACAAAATTACTATAGGTAGTTTTATACAATTAATAATATGTATCATATATGCTTATATTTTATTAATATTATATTCCAATTGTTATTGAAATTATACATAAACATGCATTTTCTTAATTCGATATACGGCATTTTTGTCGATACCGCATTGATACATTCGGGAAAAAAAATTTTAATTTATTTATTTAAATAAATAATGATGCTCAATCAATGTTTTAAATGTTTTAATGAAAGCCAAAATTCAGGATAAATTTCTTTTTAGAAAATTATAAATACTTATTGCTAAATCTTTCGTATCTATAAAATCAACTAAATCTTTAATCCTTGTTCCAACATCATTGATCCCACCGCCATCTCGATATTTTGTATACCATTTAAGGGCAATTTCTTTGTCTTTTTGAGGACCTTTACCATGGTAATAACATTCACCCACAATGTGTTGTGATGTTACGTATCCCTTTTCAGCAGACCTAACATATAGTTCAAATGCTTCTTGTAAATTGCCACATTGATTATGATGATCTGCAAGACTATATAAAGCTATATTTAATCCAGAACGTTCAAAAAGCTCAATTGCTTTATTCTTATCACTTTCGATACCATAACCGTGATAATAACAGCGTCCAAGTTCATAATGACCATAAATATCACCATTATCACTCGCTTTCTTAACCCATTGATAGTATTTTTCATGTTTTTCAAACTCAGAATAATGGTAATGAAAAATTCCAATCATTACGTCATAATGCTCAATTGTTGGATCGTTAATGAGATAATCGAAAATTGCTTCTGACCTTGGCCTATGATGATCTATAACACTATCAAAGTCAAGAGATTTCGTGGGACCGGTATCATTGTAAATCATATAAGATTTACGAATCTCCATTAATGCACTACATAATTCTCTTTCCTCGTTGATGATATCATCATCTGATTTAACGCTATTGAATTGTGCATCCAGCTGTTTTAATTTAGTATAAACTTCATTAATGTCAGGCCTTAACGTTGGATCCTCACTCCAGCATTTTTGATAAAGTATTTGATACTTTAGAGGTGTATTTTCTATTGGGGTTTCTCTCAGCTGAAAATTCATAAGTTGAAAGATCAATTTGTACCTATCAATGTTCGAAAACGGGGAACGTCCACTTGTGATCTCCCATAATAGAACGCCTAAACTATATATATCTGATTTCTTGTTTCTAACATAATTTCCTTGTGGATAATAACATTGCGGATCAATATATCCTGGCATCCCATCTTCAAGTTTTGAACTAGCAATTGATGTAACCTCACTAATCTTTTTAGACAATCCAAGGTCCGCGATCATCAATCTATTATTATGAACTAATATATTTTTTGAATGCTTTTAAAAATTGATATTTATAAGATTAATAGTTTATAATAATATGATAATAAAATTAAATACGGAATTTACCAAATCTCTATGGATTATGTTATCCTTATGTAAACACATCAATCCAGAAGTAATATCCAATGCCATTTTGATCTTGTCTTTCCATTGTAATGAATTAAATTTTTTTTTGTTTCCTAAAAAATCTCTTAAATTTCCCCCATTGGCATATTCCAATACCATAATATAATTGTCATCAGAATCTATTCATTTTAAACAAAAGGAAATTATATTAATTGGATTTAAAAAGTTAAATTTATTTAGAAATAATATAGGAAACTTTACACGAACCATTCGTTATTCCAATAAAGTTATTGATATTTGGATGATAATGAACGATACGAAGAAGTTTTAACTAAAAAAAAGGGTAAAACAATAAATTTGATGTTTTTTTTTTTATACCGTACAAATATCAGAATTTTTATAAAAGAAAGAAGCTCATACTTCTTTGACAAGATCTGCAACGTCATCCTTATCGATTTTTCTATTTTTATTCGAGAAGCTTTTCAATGCGACTTGAATGCCCCTGTTATCCAAATCCGCTCTATGCACAACGCCGAATCCTCCTTTGCCTATTTCTACAATATTACTAAGTTCACTATATTCAAATTTAGTAATGTCACCATCGTTTATCTTTGCATCAATCCATTCTTTCAATGATGTCATTTTAAGGATGCGAGAAAAAAATTTGTGTTAGGATGAGTTTAAACTATTTATATATGATTTATATATCGCCATTTCTGGTCACACTATTACAAATTTAGTTAGTACAGGAACTCATTATTATTGAGTATTACTTTTATAAACCCGAAGGTAAAATGTTACATTTTTAATTTAGGAAGAAAAAGAAATACAATATCATGTGCACATGCATAAATGAAAATAAAAAAACTCTTTAATATTGAAATATGTACAAAGCGATCCTTTCCAAGTATATTATTGAATTATTATTTCTTTTTCGAATTTTTATCATCACATCTTTTCCTTCTATTAGTAAATTCCTTAAGAAAACCTTGTAAAGAATTTCTTTTTTTTACCCGAACTTTAATATTATCATTTAAAACATCGTGATCAATTGATACGTTAACGAGCGTGGAGGTTGGGGAAATAGGTATAGGCGGAATTTGCTCATTATGAAGTAAAGTTGTAATTTTATCGAAATTTTTAGAAGAGGAGTGTTTTGAAGGGGAAAACCAACTTATCGGAGAAGGATCCAATCCTTTATGTTTTTTTAATTTCGATCTTGATCTTTCCTGCTTAATGATTGCTGAGATATTGCTATTCATATCATTATTTTTTCTCGATGACCCATTATTAATTCCCTTGACCTTTTCCCAAATTCCTAAGCTATTTCGCTTATTTTGATTCGAGGTTGAAGAATTTTGAATGTCATTGTTTCGAATAAATGTTATCCAAGTATGTCTCCTCACACCTGATGGAGTGGTAGTATCAGGTGTACCCACTAGTTGAAGATTATCGTCAGTCGTCGCATTGTGTTCATGTGAACGAGTGTCAGCCTTCGATTTATTAAATGTTGAATCAACATCATACAAAGAATGTGAAGTCGTTGTTGGGGTGGATAAAGACGCATAACAACGTTGTTCATCATTAGTGTTATTAATGATAGGGGTAGAATAACGTTTTAAATTGTTGATAACGGAATGTTTCTCGCTGCTCGATTTTGATATTTTTCTTGAAGTATCAATAGTAAGATCCACAATCTTTCTTTTTCTCTTCGAAATAGGATAGTGTTGTACCACCACAGTATTAGAAGGAGAATCGGTTCTTATTTGCTTATGGTTATTACCACTTTCCTTCTTCTCCTTCGATCGTTTCGTCTTGTTCTCAATCTCGTCTTCCTCCCCCATAATGACATTCATTGAATTTGGAAGGATAAAATCATCATGTGAATGAAAAGTGACACGTTTACCCTTCTTATGTAAAAGAGTGGCATAAATGAAGTAAAATGTTAACGTGTAATAGAGATCGTAATTTAATATTATCACATGGTATAAAGTACATATACTTGATATTAGCATAAAGAATAACGCCTGTGTTATTGCGAATGAAAATTGTAATGTTGATACTACATTTTCAGTAATCATATTGCAACTTATAGGAAATGATTTCACTCGAGGAGGATTCGTTGAGGGATTATAATTATTTGATTTAAATCGATTCATTCGTTTCTTGACTGAAATTAATAAAGGTAATGATAATGAAGTTATTAATGATATGCTTTCGCTCATATTAATGAAATGGTTCCACGATGAAAAAAAAAAGTTATTCCGCAATGAATGTGTCGTGTAAAAGATGTTTGAATATAAACAAAAGGACCAATCGGTGTGTTAAGATCAGTTCTGTAAGGAGATCCCCGAGAAATAAAGGAGATAATCTTTTGCTATAGTCGTTGCTCGCTATTTTGCATAGTTGTAGTGAATACTATGTATTTTCTATTTTTTTATTTTAATTATATATATTTTTTTCTTCACTGTAAGATTTTATTAAGCGTTCACTATAACTATAAGGAAAAAAAATGAAAGTAAGTTTCACTGTGACGTGAATTTATTCAGTAATCGAGATTGTTTATATCGGAATGAAGGAAATTTTTTTTTTTTTAAAAAAAAGTGGGAACGAATGATGCTTATGTGAAAAAGAGTTTCTAAAAAAATATTTGTGATTGATTTATTGTTTGAACTAAACGGTAATCTACTTTTAATGATAATGAATAGATTTTCCGATTATGTGATTTTTACAATGAGATTTAGGAAATAGAAAAAAAAAATTTTTTTTTTATGATGAATTTCTGCGCCTAATGCTTTTTCGGGAAAAAAAGTTTCCTTTCTCGAGAATAAGATTAAAAAAAAAAGGTTAAGAAAAGATTCACAAAATTATTTCCTTTTATAAGGAAATTTCGACATATCCGAAAAGCCGAAGTTTCATTTTCTAAAAAAAAATCTTTGTCTTTTGTTGTAATGATTTACGTGACATGAATGAATAAAACAAACAGTGAGCAAATGAGGTTTACAGTAATGACAAAGGTTCACTTTACTCCTGTATTATCATAAAAGTGTCCTTGTCGATAATGAATGAAAGAAATGTATGTATGTACAAAAAATTTCCGCGTCGTATGGGGGTACAAATCTCCGATGAGAGTAATACAAAACATTATTAGGTGTAACATTAAATCAACAATTTATAGTTTATGGCAATTTGTTTATTTCTCTCTCTGAAACAAAGGTGTGTAGGTAAACGTAAAAATTCCACTAACACAAGTATCGTCAACATTCAATTTTGACACCCCACCACTTTTCATTTTTTCGCATGTATTGGGGCGATTCTTTTTTTTTTAGTGACGAAATTATTTTTCTCAAATGGAAATTTACTAATATTATTCTATTCCTATGCTTTATGTAGTAATTATAGTACAGTATTATCAAAAAATACTAATATTAATTTATATTAAGTTAATTTAGTTTTTAATTTCTTAATAATTAGTCCGGAACGTAAGCGAAGAACTATATGTCTGTGCCCGGTGTCTGTTTGTCTGCCCGCTCGTCGATACGTGGTTGGTCCCTTTCGTTACACTTGTGCTCCGGACTTAACAATGGTTTCCGAAACCGTTCCCTAGTTTTTAATTTTTTAAAAGTAAGGATTTATTTTTATATTTAATTAAAGATCCTAACTTTCTAAATAAAAATAACTTTTGTTTTTAAATATTTCTAAGATTTAAAAAACATTATCACTAATAAATTATCTTACATTTAAATTAATAAGATTATTTACAACTTTATTTTAAATATTAAGATTAAATTTTTTTATATTTTAAAAATGAAAATTTATTAAATTAATTTCATAAAGAAGCTTAAATAATAAAATAAATCTAATATTTTAAAAAGTTTTATTAAATAAATTATTATTTACATTTCATAAGTAAAAAAAATCTTATTTTTTATTTAAAAATTTACTAAGATATTTAAAAATAAAAAATATTATAAATTAATAAAAATTAAAATACTTATTATAATAATTATCAAAAATATCAAAAATTTTGTGATAAATGCAAAATTTACATTTTTGCTACATATTATCATAAATTTTGATCCTTTTATTAGTCTAAAACAGTGAAGGATTATATATTTTTATAAATAGTATCACAAAATCACTTTTATTTTAAGCTAACTAAAACTAAACAAGAATATGCAAAATTATTTTGTTATATAAGCATATTTTCACAGATAATTTGCAGAATATCATCTATTATATCATATATACTTTAGCGAGGATCAAAAACATGCTAATTTATATTGCATACACCTATATGCATTGGTCATAAGGTGCTTTGCATGGCTAGACAATATATTATTTTATTAATATAATATTCAGGATTTAGGTTAAGGTCTGATTTGAAAAATTCAATATACTAATTCACTATTATTATCCAAATCTGAGAAATTCATAGTAACATCCTTTTTATAAATATAGTATAGGAATTTTAACGGTAATGAGTTGTATATTCTTTCTATTTCTACTGATTTACCCCTGATAAATTCAGAATTCTATAACTATTTTAATATGTTATATCAAGCTGTATCTCTAATAACTATGTAGACTTGCTGATATAATACTCTAAAAGTAACTAAGTTATGCTATAGTACATAATCATTCATATAGCTGATTTCTCTTCACTATTACCAAAGTAGTAGCAGAATAAATATTATACTTATTTTCTGCATAAAATCAATTACTCATATAATTAGTTTCTATTAGTTTTCCATAAATGAAATGATATATTTTATCATGAGAAACAATATCTAAAAACTTCTTATTGTTAGGAATACCATCATTTCTCACCATTTCCTAAACTTGTTTTACCAAAGATTCAGGTCTTTTCTTGTAATTCCTATAAGCTTGCTAGATAACTGTTGCATAGAAATTCTCAAACTGATAGTTATATTGTCTCACAATCAAGAATCCCCAAGATCATTTTATTGATCTTCCTGAACTTCTCAAAAAATACTTTATTAAAATAAATTAGAAGATTTAACTCAGAAAAGGCAGATTATGTATAGCACTTATGATCAATTTTACTAGACGATTATCTATACAGATTATATAGTGCAAAAATAAATTATATTAGTTAAACCAGTTAAATAATCATGACTTTTGTTCTATTTCTTAATCTTAATGTGGGTTGATTAAGATGGTTTATAGATGGTAGAGTTCTAAAAGAACCTAGTAAGTTATTTTATTTTACATATAGAGATAAATATTTCATCTGTTTACTCAAGAAACAAAGAATCAGATGTAATTTTTTCAGGATATAATACCCTCCTCTGGTTAGAAGATTTTTCACTCAATATTTCTAACTTCAAGCTTGTGAAAAGATGGGTTAGTCCCTTAGGATCACTTCTATATGTTTATTAGTCTTGAAACATGAGTTATCCTAATGATTCTTCACCAAATCTTTAGGCTTAATCTCATACCCATATCTTTCCTATCTACTGAAATATGTCTTTTTGGTTTTATATCAGTGATCTTTACTAATTTTAACAATCGAAGCAAATAGCCATTTTGCTATTATGAATATTAACCAATAGCAATTTCTCTTCCTTTATAATTATTATAGTATATCTTAGTTACTTCTTGTCTAGAAGATTCTAAAA